GACTATGCTTTGCATGATATTCAGAAATCATGGTTAGAAAAAATGGAAAGAGGACTTTTCTCTTCCCTTTACTTCCTTAGAAGATAATCACTACTTTTTCGAAATTTTTCAGTCCCCCTCCCGTCATCACCTCCCCCCCCCCCAATTTACCAAAATTGAAAAAAAGGAAATAATGGAAAGAAAGGAAACTAACTGCTTCTACATTCTATCACGAGGGTGAAACTAGTAAAAAGTTCAAAATACACATCTAGCACCAAATATTGCACTAAGGGAAGATGATATGGTTCGTGGAAGTTGCCGAGATAAAAAAGAAACCTATATGCTTAGAATTAAGCAATTTTTGGGTGGAAAAATGAGAAACTCTAACTAGATTGCTGCATAGACAAGGAAACCCAGCTTCTTGGCTCATGAGAAAGTTCCAAACACGAATCAATCTCAGCTGAATGCTGTCATCCTACCTCCGATTATAAAACGGGCCATTTCATGGACTAAAGTACTGCTGCCTGTTCAAACATAGCACCAGAGGAGGAGTAAAATGGGTGGGTAACTTCCACCAGCTAATGATGGCAAGTAGAAGCAAGACAGCAGCTGCCCTCCAAAATCACAACGATTGTCATTTGCGTACCACAAGAATAACTGAAGCTCTACCAAAAACCTTGTTTTCCACTGAAAACAAAGTCACAATTCAAAAATGGCAATGGCCAAGAAAAACTGAAACACTAACATGTTGGAAATGTAAATAGCAAATTCTGAGGTGACGCTACATGCGCAAAATTGCCTGAAGAACACTATGTACACTATGTACCACCTGTGTCACGGCCTAATCGCTCTTCCAAGGCATTGGCTGGAGCATAAACACTTAATTAAATTAAATAGCATACTTTCATTAAGACAAAAGTACTCAGAAATGTTACATCTCTTAAATATTTACATCAGCTACATACAAATACAAAACTCTAAAATTTTTGTTTTTCTTATAACAGTACAAAATACAAAACAAACTAGTAACATTGATCTAACTTCGAAACTTTCTCTGGTCTCACCGTTTACTTCTCAATGGTTTCCTTAGTGCCTGAAAGGTGAT